CGGACTAATGGCCTTTGACACGAGTCTTGGGTTTCCTAAATTTCTCAAAAATATTTAGGTGGCGACTCTGAAATCTGGCAAAGCAGTCATTTTTTACAATTTTATTCAAAATCGATTTTCCAAAAGATTTGCCGGATTGGACTCTTTTTGTGTTTTCACTGTTTCACATTGCACTTGTAAAATTAGATTCAAAACCACAAGTAGAGTCCAAACTATAGGGTTTATTCGTCTTCCAAATGGGGGCACGAAAAGTCAATCTACAATTTCTGGCAACTCCGCTAGGGACATTTAGAGAACTTGACTTGAAATTCATGATGTAAAATTTTATCTATATTTATATGTTTCTTTGCATTGCATTTGCAGTGGTACGCCTAAGTCACTGTGTTTGCCATCTGCTATTCCTGGACAATTTGCCAGAGGCATGCCCAAAAGCTTACCAAAAGGCTAATCGGTTGTGGGCTCTGCCATGATGGGAACACAACCCGTGGATCTAGACTACCGTTGTACTGTTTGATCCTCCTTTCACTTCTCGGTGTTAGGTGTGATAGGTATATTAGGTAGTCTTGCTGAGGTACCCTTTTTTTGACCAATCGGCCTAATTGCATATCGAAAACCATAGAGACTGTTCCAAACTAGGACATGATGCTTACCCGAGTATAGGATTGTGCGAAACACCTTGTTTGCATAGTGAAAACCCTAGCTCCTGACGAAACTAGGATAGGGTAACTGTAATGACCCGACCCTCTTATATGCTTTACATCCCTAGTTCTATGAAAAATTACATGTTTAATGTGAAAGTTTCATGCAAAGTTATGTTTACATGTGTGAATTGTTTAATCATGTTTTCTATCTGTTGATTATTGGAACACATCTGTTAAAATTAAAATGTTAACTTGAAAGCTAAAAGCCGTAGAGGCACGATAAACTGAAATTGAGCATGTGCATATGCTAGTGGGAATTTTTAAAGATACTTGGCAGGTTTAATTGAAAATTTATTTTTTCTGATTCGCTAGGGCTTGTTTGGCAAGTCTAGAAATTAACGACTTACTTATGTGTTATATAAACCCCTCTTTGAACTCATCTCTTTATATACATATATATGTTAAGTAGAAAATCTTGAGAACCTTGAAGAAGAGAGAAAGGAAAAAGGAGAAGGGGAGAGTCAATAAGATTTGGAGGTTGAAGAACTTGCTAGGAACAATTGAAGAATCCAACTTAAGGTGAGTACAGATCATTAGTAAACTCTTAATTCCTCTTCAGTTGGTTGGAATTAAGTTTTGACTTGAAGTATTCTTCCTCCATGAAAGCTAGGGTTATGATTGAGAATAATTGAATCTCATAAATGACCATGTATCTCTTGAACATGTATGATGGGAAACTTAGTCACTTGATTTCTCTATGTTTTGCTTACTCTAGCTCTTTTGAGTGTTTGAATTCACATAAATGGAAAGGTAGACATTGTACATGTATATTTTCAAAGTGTGAGTGAGGGAATCATGAAACTTTTGAGGTGTAAAGGCCAAAGGGCTAGAATTCCGTATTTATATGTTTATATGCTATGATTTTAGTGTAAATCAACCTTGCTTTTGGCTGTGAGACTACCTCTTGTGAACTTGGAATTGTTGAAGTTTCAGACTGAAAAATAGAGGAAATGACAGCATGTTCGGGGGCCCATGGCCGTGTGGGAGGCACGACCACACGTGCGGGGCGCACGGCCACACGTGCGGGGATCATAGCCACACGTGCAGAAAACAGGGGAGAATGGTCGAACTACACTGCTAAAAAGGCATATGCGGCCCAAGTTTGAAAATTCTGTAATTTTCTTTCGCTCTTCTCGACTCTCTGAACATGTTATTATGTCCGTTTGATGCTCCTATAATGCCTTTAATTACGAAACATAGCGAATCGAATAATGAGAAATAAAAGGCAATTATGAAAAGGTAATGTACTTACGATTTATGTGCTGTGTAGGGCATCCGCAGGAGGGAACCGGCTTTCACCCACATAACAGTGAGTGGTAGTAGCGTAGTATGATGCTCTATTCACGTTTTGTGAATATATATGTTACCCGAAACATTCTTCACTTTTGCGAGCACTTTATGTTATATACGATAGGTTTGACGTATGTTTGAACCTTGACATGTGAAATGTAGACCCGAGGTCGTTCGATTTGCTATCTTATTGGGCCTAAGGCCGTTCTGCATTATGATGGGCCTAAGGTCGTTCTGTATTCTGTTGGGCCTAAGGTCGTTCTACATTATGATGGGCGTAAGGCCGTTCTATATTTTATTGGGCCTAAGGTCGTTCTGCATTCTGTTGGGCCTAAGGCCGTTTCGTATTATGATGGGCCTAAGGCTGTTCTGTCTTATGTGGGCTCGAGGCCGTTCAGGAAAGGAAAAATGAGAAAGATTATGATTTGTGAATATGCATTGTTAACCATGTTCGTACTTTTGATTTATTTGTACTACTATCATTCACTGGGCCTTGCTCACTCTACTTTCCTAAATGTTTTGTAGGTAACCAGCTTGCGGGTCAAACCTAGGTCAGCCTAGAAGCCTGTAGCTAAAACCGTTTTGACGAGCCACCTGAAGTGACTCTTTTGTTATAATTTTGAAGATCCCTATGATGGCATATTTTGTCATAATGTTGGGACCAATGGATGTGTATCTCTAGATACTGTTAACACTTAACTTCCGAGTTGATCCCTTTTGTGTTCAGTAATATAAATGGTGCATGGAATGTTATGTATGTATAGTAATGCGACATGATCTTAACATTTAGACACAGCTCAATGAATATTATTCTTCTATTATTTTGCTTCCGTTCAGGCCCCAAGATGGAGTAACATTTAACGAACGAAGTTTAGGCCTCGAGTTAGGCCGGTCACGTCCAAACTTTTAGGGACAGGTTTGGATTGTGACAGTTGGTATCAGAGCACGAGTTGCTACCTCACGCACGAGTTCATTGAGCTTTAAGGCGTCTAGTAAAGATTTAAGTCATACTTGCAAGTGACTTTCGGTGCATATGCAGTAATCATGGATATATATACATATTGGTAATGATCATGATCCATGCCTACTTGTGCATTTCTGTATGTATTATAACTAACTGTTATGTAGATCATGGTGAGAATCAGAATGGATGATTCGAAAGATCCTACCTCCGTAAGCTTGGATAGAATGGAAATGATGATTATGGAGATGGTAGAAACTTTGAGGCAGCAACAGCAATAACCACCACCACCCATACCTGTACCACCGCCAGGGATGCAAGATTATCAAGCTGAGGATCAGACAATTACACTCACGAAGGAATTCAAAAAGATGAAGTCGTCTTCGTTCAAAGGAGGAATTGAACCAATGAGAGCAGAAGTGTGGGTGTTGGGTATACTGTTAACACTTCACTCTTGAAGACGAGGCACGAAGATGGTGTATGCTCATCAAAACTGTACATCAAGGATTAACATGGGATAGATTTTTGGAACTATTTTATGACAAGTATTTTCCTCAAAGTATGCGAGATAAAAAAGTGACTGAGTTTGAGACCTTGAGGCAGGGGACAGCACTGTTGCAGAGTATGAGGCTCAATTTGCTGAATTGGCCCGTTTCGCACCACATATGGTGGATACGGACTACAAGAAGGCAAGAAAGTTTGAAGGTGGGTTACGGACTGCTATTCTCGACCAAATTAATGTGTTGAAACTACCTACGTATGTCGATGTGTTGGAAAGGGCAGTGATTGCGGAAGGCAATGTTGCCGCTCAATGCCGGGTCTCGGAATGGAGAGGGAAAAGACAAAATATCCAAACCTCAAGGGGCTCGGTGACACCGCCAAGTAAGAAGTTGAATTCAGGAACTTCTAGTGCATCTGCTTCTACCTGTGATTCTGCACCAATTTGTTCGGATTGTGGGAAGAAACACCGTGGAATTTGTTATCGGGTAACGGGAGCATGCTTTAAGTGTGGCAAGACAAGTCATTTGGCCAGAGAGTGTCCGCAAAAGAATCGGCAGAATGGAAATAGAACCACCGCAAGTTCAGTTGGATCAACCCCTACCCCAGTTACAAAGGTAGCCACAAAACCCTCCAATGCTACAGACACCACCAAACAAGGAAGGGTATTTGCACTAGTTCCGGGCAACGTACAAAATACCGAGGTTGTGGTATCAGGAACATTTTTCGTTAATGGTCATTCTGCACATGTGTTATTTGACTCGGGCTCTACCCATTACTTTGTATCAAAAGCATTTGCTAGTTACTTGAGTAGGCCAATGGAACCATTACCTTATGTTTTGTGTGTATCTTCACATTCGGGGGAGTCCATGGTATGTGCATCTATTTATTTTGCATGTGAAATCCTAATCAGGGATGTTTGGGTAGATGCCAACTTGTTGCCTCTTGATATGGCTTATTTTGACATAATTTTGGGGATGGATTGGTTAAGCAAGTATTACGCGACTATAGATTGTGTCTCAAAGCAAGTTATGTTCCAACTCCCAGGACAATCTGAGTTTGTTTTTAAGGGCCAGAGGGTAGTTTCCCCACCCTATCTGATTTCTGCAATAAAGGCATGTAAGTTACTCCAAAAGGGTAGTCAAGGGTATTTGTGTAGTATCGTGGGTGAACAACCAGTGAATGGAGGCATTAATGCAATTCCAATTGTGCGGGATTTTTCGGATGTTTTTCCAGATGAATTACCAGGAGAGCTAATTGATCGTGAAATTGAGTTTACAATTGATATAATGCCAAGAACTCAGCCCATTTCTAAAACCCCGTATAGAATGTCTCCCGCTGAAATGAAGGAGTTGAAAATTCAACTACAAGACCTCCTTGATAAAGGATTCATTCGTTCGAGCATTTCCCCTTGGGGCGCACCAGTCCTTTTTGTAAAAAAGAAAGACGGGACCCTTCGGCTGTGCATGGATTATAGAGAGCTTAATAAAGTAACCATAAAGAATAAATATCCTTTGCCCAGGATCGCTGATCTGTTTGATCAATTACAGGGTGCATAAGTCTTTTCTAAAATAGATTTGCGGTCTGGGTATCACCAATTGAAGGTTAAAGCTGAGGATGTCAACAAAACTGCCTTCCGGACCTGTTATGGGCATTATGAATTTTTGGTTATGCCATTCGGGGTCACTAATGCACCAGCGGCCTTCATGGATTTGATGAACTGAGTTTTTAAGCCCTACTTGGATGACTTTGTAGTTGTGTTTATTGATGATATGCTTATCTACTCAACAAGTGTAGCAGCTCATGAGAACCATCTACCGGTAATTCTTCAAACTCTTCGGGATAAGAAACTGTATGCAAAATTAAAGAAATTTGAATTTTGGTTACATGAAGTAGGATTTTTGGGACATGTGGTGACAAAGGAGGGTGTTGTCATTGATCCACACAAGATTGAAGCTATTGTGAAGTGGCCGACGCCTACAAATGTGTCAGAAGTGCATAGTTTCTTGTGTTTAGCTGGATACTACCGACGGTTTGTTCAAGGATTTTCCAAAATTGTGGTGCTGCTTACTCAGTTAACCCAGAAAGGTGTATTATTTGAGTGGTCGGAGCAACGGGAATCTGCCTTTCAAGAATTGAAGACAAGATTAATTACAACACCTGTTTTGGCCTTGCCATCCGGTAATGAAGGATTTGAGATTTATAGTGACGCTTCTCACAAAGGTTTGGGCTGTGTACTTATGCAAAATGGGAGGGTTATTGCATACGCCTCTCGTCAACTTAAACCCCATGAAAAGAACTAACCCACACACAACCTTGAGCTAGCTACAGTGGTCTTTACTTTGAAAATATGGCGTCACTATCTATATGGGGCTAGATGTGAGGTTTATACTGATCATAAGAGTCTTAAGTACTTTTTCACTCAAAAAGAGCTGAACATACGACAAAGACGGTGGTTAGAGCTTATTAAAGACTATGACCTACAAATTCATTACCACCCCGGTAAAGGTAATACGATTGCAAATGCCCTTAGTTGAAAAGGTACAGGGAATTTAGTGAGTTTAGTTACAGGGCAGAAAGAGCTATTACATGATTTGGAAAGAATGAATATGGAAATTGTGTTTCATGGCCATGATACGGTACTGTCAATGGTGTCAGTTCAACCAATACTTCTGGAGGAAATTAAGCAACGGCAACTGGAAGATGAATTTCTACAGAAAATTTGTGGCGAAATGGAAACGAAACCAAGGCCTGGGTTCATAATTGAAAATTCGATGGTAAAATTCCAGGGTAGATGGTGTGTCTCCAATGTACCAGAAGTGAAAAAGAGAATCATGGAGAAAGTGCATAGCTCTAAATTTGCAATGCATCCGAGTAACACAAAAATGTACCACGATCTGAAGCTGAATTTTTGGTGGTCGGGAATGAAGAAGGAAATTACAGAATTTGTCTCAAAATGTTTGCACTGTCAGTAGGTGAAAGCAGAGCACCAACGACCGGTAGGCCTACTACAACCCCTCCCAATTCCAGAATGGAAATAGGAACAATTAACTATGGATTTTATTGTGGGTTTACCGCGAACTCCCCGGGGTATGAACTCCATACGGGTTATTGTTGACAGACTAACCAAGTCAGCTCATTTTCTCCCTATAAAGACTCAATACAATGCAGATAAGCTGGCCACCTTATATGTGGATGAAATTGTGCGGCTACATGGTATTCCAGTTTCAATCGTTTCTGATAGAGATCTGAAGTTCGTATCAAGATTTTGGCGAAGTCTGCAGGAGGCCTTGGGAATAGAATTGAAATTCAGTACAACCTTCCACCCTCAAACCGATGGACAATCTGAGAGAACTATACAAACATTGGAAGACATGCTTCGAATGTGTGCTTTGGACTTCAAAGGAAGTTTGGAAACTCACCTACCGTTGGTGGAATTTGCATACAACAACAGTTACCACTCAAGTATAGGAATTTACTGAGTAATTTACTGCGAATTTACCAAGTAATGTACTGACTAATTTACTGACTATTTAGTGAGAATTTACTGAGTAATTTTCTTAGAATTTATTGGGAATTTACTGAGTAATTTACTGAGTGATGTACTGAATAATTTACTGAGAATTTTTTGAAATTTATTAGGAATTTTCTGAGTAACTTGCTGAGAATTTTCCGCGTAATTTATTGAGCAATTTATTGGGAATTTGCTGGAAATTTACTGAGTAATGTATTGAATAATTTACTGAGAATTTTTTGAAAATTTACTGGGAATTTTCTGAGTAATTTCTGAGTTATGTACAGAAAATTTCCTGAGTAATTTACTAGGAATTTACTGACTAATCTACTGACAATTTACTGAGTAGTTCACTCGAAATTCACCAAGAATTTACCAGGAATTTACTGAAAGTTTATTGAGTAATTTACATAGAATTTACTGAGTAATTTACTGTTTAATTTACTGGGAATTTATTGAGTTATTTACTGAGAATTTACGGCAAATTTACTGAGTAATTTATTGAATAATTTACGAAAAATTTATTGGGAATTTACAAGGAATTTACTGGGAATTTACTGAGGACTATACAGAGAATTTAGCGTGAATTTACTGAGTAAATTGCTGAGAATTTACCGAGTAATTTACTAGTAATTTACTGAGTAATTTACTTAGTAATTTTTTGTTAATTTACTGGAATTTAATGTGGAATTTACTCAGTAATTTACTGGAAATTTACTGAATAATTTACTGAGAATTTACTGGAAATTTACAGAGTAATTTACTAAGAATGTACTGAGAATTTACTGAGTAATTTTCTTAGAATTTACTCGTAATTTTCTGAGAAATTTACTGTGTAATTTACTCAGACTGTACTAGGATTTACTTAGTAATTTACTTGTAATTTTATGGGAATTTACTGAGTAATTTACTCAGTAATTTATTGAGAATTTATTGGAATTTACTAAATAATTTACTAAGTAATTTAGAGAAAATTTACTAGGAACTTACTGAGTAATTTACAAAGAATGTACTAAAAATTTTTTGAGCAATGTACTTAGAATTTACTGAGAATTTATGAGAAATTTATAAAGAATTTCCTGAGTAATTTTATTAATATTTACTGAGTAATTTACTGAGTAACATACTGCGAAATGTACTTATTAATTCACTGAGAATATAATGAAAATTTACTTAGTAATATACTAAGTAATTTACAGAGAATTTAGTGAGTAATTTACTCAAAATTTAGTGTGAATTTACTGAGTACTTTATTGGGAATTTTCTGAGAATTTACAAGAAATTTACTGAGTAATTTATTGAGTAATTTACTGAAAATTTGTTGAGTAATTTACTTCGAATTTAGTGGGAATTTACTGAGTAATTTACTGAGAATTTACTGCGAATATACTAGGAATTTACTAAGTTATTTACTAAGCAATTTAGTGAATAATTTACTGAGAGTTTACTAAGTAATTTACTGGGAATTTACTAAGTAATTTACTGTGAAATTTATTGGGAATTTACAGAGAATTTATTAAGTAATTTATTGAGATTTTACCAAGAATTTACTATGTAGTTTACTGAGAATTTACTCAGAATTTAGTGAGTACTTTACTAAGAATTTACTAGGAATTTCCTAGTAATTTATTGAAAATTTACTAAGAATTTATTGAGTAATTTACTGGGAATTTTCTGAGTAATTTACTAAGAATGTACTGAGAATTGACGGGAAATTTCCAATGAATTTACTAAGTAATTTATTGAGAATTTACTGGGAATGTACTGAGTAATTTTCTGCGAATTTACTAAATAATTTTCTGAGGGATTTATAGAAATTTACTGAGTAATTTAATAAGGATTTACTGGATAATTTACTGAGTAATGTATTGTGTAATTCTGTAACGCCCCAACCCTTTGCACAGCATCGATATTGTCCGCTTTGGGCCACGCCCGCACGAATTTGTTCTTCCCAGTGGGTCACCCATCCTAGAACTACTCCAGCCTAAACACACTTAACTGGGGAGTTCTAATAGGGATTTCACCACTCGGGAAAAGGCCTCGATGCTATATAAGGGTCCAGGTTTTTACTTTTATAGCCCAGAAACTCCCCCTCCACTCCCGATGTAGGACACCGGGGCCTTACAATCCACCCCCTATAAGGCCGCACGTCCCCGTGCAGTAGCCTGCCAGTTCGCAAGCCCGCCCACATACACCAAGAGACGCCAGGGGCCCACACTCAGTACTCTGGAGAGTCGGCTCTGATACCATTTGTAACGCCCCAACCCTTTGCACGGCATCGATATTGTTCGCTTTGGGCCACGCCTGCACGAATTTGTTCTTCCCAGTGGGTCACTCATCCTAGAACTACTCCAGCCTAAGCACGCTTAACTGGGGAGTTCTAATAGGGATTTCACCACTTGGGAAAAGGCCTTGATGCTATATAAGGGTCCAGGTTTTTACTTTTATAGCCCAGGAACTCCCCCTCTATTCCCGATGTGGGACACCAAGGCCTTACAAATTCACTGAGAATTTACTGGGTAATTTGCTGAGTAATTTACAGAGTAGTTTACTATGAATTTACTAAGTAATTTTCTAGGAATTTACTGAGAAATTTACTAAGTAATTTACTGAGAATTTAATTGGTAATTTACTGAGAATTTACAAGGAATATACTGGCAATTCACTGAGTTATTTACTAAGTAATTTACTGAGAATTTGCAGGAAATTTATTGAATAATTCACTGAGAATTTACTGAATAATTTGCTGAGAATTTACTGAGTAATTTACTTAATAACTTACTTGGAATTTCCTGAGAATTTACTAGGAATTTGCTGAGTAATTTACTGAGAATTTACTGGTAATTTACTGATTAATTTACTGGAAATTTACTGAGAATTTATTAAGAATTTATTGGAAATTTACTTAGTAATTAACTGAGAATTTACTGGAAATTTGCAGAGTAATTTACTTAGAATTTACTTAGTAATTTACTAAGTAATTTACTGAGAATTTACTTAGAATTTACTCAGTAATTTTCTGGGAATTTACGGAGAATTTACTTGCAATTTACTATGAATTTACTCAGAATTTACTAAGTAAATTATTGAGAATTTACTTGAAGTTTACTAAGAATTTACATAGTACTTTACTGAGAATTTACTGAGTACTTTACTGAGAATTTACTGGGAATTTACTGAGAATTTACTTAGTAATTTACTCAGTAATTTACTGAGAATTTACTAAGTAATTTACAGAGAATTTACTGGGAATTTACTGAGTAATTTACTGAGAATTTACTGAGTAAATTACTAAGTACTTTAATTAGAATTTACTGAGTAATTTATTGAGAATTTACTGGGAATTTACTAAGTAATTTACTAAGGAATTTATTGAGAATTTACATGGAATTTACTGATAATTTTCTGAGTAATTTACTGAGAATTTATTGGGTATTTACTAATTGATTTACAAAGTAATTAATTAAAAATTTACTAATTTACTGAAAATATATTAAGTAATTTGTTGAGAATTTGCTAAGTAATTTACTGATAATTTTCTGTGAATTTACTTAATAATTTATTGAGAATTTACTGAGAATTTAATGGGAATTTACTGAGTAATTTATTTAGTAATATACTGAGAATTTATAGAGAAATTTACTAATGTACTGATTAATTTACTCTGAATTTACAAAGTAATTTACTGAGTAATTTTCTGGGAATTCAATGAGAATTTACTACGAATTTACAGTGAATTTACTGGGTAATTTAATGTGAATTTACTAGAATTTACTGAGTAATTTACTG